GAAATGAAATGAAATGAATGAGGGAAGGGAGGAAGGAAGGAAAGAAGGAAGGAATTGAAAGGGAATTAGTTTAAACTAAATGACATGAAATGACATGACATGGAATCAAAAGACATGACATGAAATGAAATGAATGAAGGAAGGGAGGAAGGAAGGAATTGAAAGGGAATTAGTTTAAACTAAATGACATGAAATGATATGAGATAGAATCAAAAGACATGACATGAAATGAAATGAATGAAGGAAGGGAGGAAGGAAGGAATTGAAAGGGAATTAGTTTAAACTAAATGATATGAAATGACATGAAATGACATGAAATGACATGAAATGACATGAAATGACACGACATATAATCAACAGAAATGACATGAAATGAAATGAACGAAGGAAGGGAGGAAGGAAGGAATTGAACGGGAATTAGTTTAAACTAAATGACATGAAATGACATGAAATGGAATCAAAAGACATGACATGAAATGAAATGAATGAAGGAGGGAGGAAGGAAGGAATTGAAAGGGAATTAGTTTTAACTAAATGACATGAAACGACACATGAAATGGAATCAAAAGACACGACATGAAATGAAATGAATGAAGGAAGGGAGGAAGGAAGGAATTGAAAGGGAATTAGTTTAAACTAAATGACATGAAATGACATGAAATGGAATCAAAAGACATGACATGAAATGAAATGAATGAAGGAAGGGAGGAAGGAAGGAATTGAAAGGGAATTAGTTTAAACTAAATGACATGAAATGACATGACATGATATGATATAGAATCAAAAAACATGACATGAAATGAAATGAATGAAGGAAGGGAGGACGGAAGGAATTGAAAGGGAGTTAGTTTAAACTAAATGACATGAAATGACATGAAATGATATGACATATAATCAAAAGACATGACATGAAATGAATGAAGGAAAAGCGGAAGGAAGGAATGAAATGAAAGAGAATTAGTTTAAAACAAAAGACATGAAATTACATGAAATGGAATCAAAAGACAAGAAATGAAATGAAATGAATGAGGGAAGGGAGGAAGGAAGGAATTGAACGGGAAATTAGTTTAAACCAAATAAAATGAAACGACACATGAAATGGAATCAAAAGACATGACATGAAATGAAATGAATGAAGGAAGGGAGGAAGGAAGGAAGGAATTGAACGGGAATTAGTTTAAACTAAATGACATGAAATGACATGAAATGGAATCAAAAGACATGACATGAAATGAAATGAATGAAGGAAGGGAGGAAGGAAGGAATTGAAAGGGAATTAGTTTAAACTAAATGACATGAAATGACATGAAATGACATGAAATAGAATCAAAAGACATGATTGAGCAGGCTACTTCTGCCTTGAGCTACCCATTTCCTCAGCCTTCTCTAAGCCACCTCGTAAAGCTGAGCTACCTGTTGCGTCCCAGCAAGTTGACATCTCAGAGGGGTCCCCAAATTGGGTTCTTGATCTTGTAGGTAAACTATTGATTAACCATTGGTTAACCATTGATTATCCATTGATGAACCATTGATGAACCATTGATTAACCATTGTAACTATGATTTTTTAACGTAGCCAACATGTTGGGATTCCCTGAGTGAAAAAGGACCTTTCCCTTTCCCACCGGCAGTAAAAAATGGTTGAAACCACAGCGTTTCTGATCAACGGAGATGAAGTTCTGCGTACTTCGTCATCGTTCGCCGTCTGGCTTGGAGAACGCTTAGACAATCAATCTCAGTTAATCCCGGATCTAAAGACAGTTAACCATCTTGAAAAATATTAGTGATATATTCCAATATATATGGTGATATATTCCAATAATTAACTCCAATAGAAGATCTTGGAAAGTTTAGTTAACTGTGAGCAGTTAGAGGTCCTCCAGTGATGTTGTCCCTCTGGAAATCTCTGGAAATCTCCGGAAAAATGGAATTACCATCTGGTTATAACTAACATAGCCATGGTATAGATGGCCCATTTATAGATGGTTTACCTATTAAAAATGGCCATTTTCAATAGCTATGTTAAATTACCAGAGGGTATCATCAATGATCATCCCATTTTGACCAGCTCATGGGCTGCGCCTTCTCGACTAGGCGGACCCTCACGTGAAGGAGAGCATGAAGTATGGAAATGATCCGGAGGACATGGAGAGCTATGCACGGGACTAAACCTCGCCCCATCCTCTTGCCCTAAAGGTCACAAAAACCTGTGGCGAGTTTCTATTAGGGGCCTATTTTCTTATTTTTCTTTTGGGCTTCGTTTTGGGCTTCGTTTTGGGCCTCTGCGTCAACATCAGAACCATCTCTGCGGAGGACGGGCGCACGGCACTGGAATTTGCCAAGGTGCCGCACGGTAAACGCCGATCATCCCAAGGGGAACGTGTTGGAATTTCTACGAGAATTTCACGTGTATATCGTTGTATCATGTTGTATCTATATGTGTATCTATATGTGTATAGAGATACATATATATATAATGTATAATTAATTATATATATATATTACATAGAGAGAGAGAGGGATGGATAGATAGATATACTGTATATCTACAATATACATACGTTGATGCATGTGCCTAATTATATCCTCCATGGCTAGTTTCGCAAGGTATCACCATACAAGACTCGGGTATCACTTACGCAGAAGCCCACGCAATGGACAGTGGTTCAAGACACCCAATTGCCGGATGGTAGTGACATGGAATGACCAAGTCCCTTTTCTGACTCATATGGCTATGGATCAATACCTATACATACCATTTTTAGTGAGATGAAGCACCAAGTTACACTGTGAAATCGTGGGTAATCAAGAGATCTTAAGGTGATCGCCTGCATGTATACACTGACTGGCTTATCTAACAGTTTCCCTTGGAAAACCAACATGTCTAATAGCAAAATCATCTACTTCACACGGGCATAGCAAACTGTTCGAAAAAACCAGAGGGTATCTCAGAGATCCCATTGAGGAAAAGTGGATCATAAGTCATCACAACATATCATAACCATAATAATGATGAAATACCCAAGTATACTATATTTTTATATGGAATCTGAATCATTCCATCATATTCCCGCCTGTGGCTTATGTTCACCACATTCACGCAGCCTCAGGCTGCTGGATACGATGACATCGTCGAAATTCTGGAGCATGCAGAGAAGGTGACTACGCAGATCTGGCGTATCAATTTCTACTAATACATACTATAATACTGTATAAAGAAGTGAATACTATAATACTGGTTCTATTACCATACTAATCTACTAATTCTATCATATCATATAAGTGAATATATATATATACCCATAGGATCCATGTATGCTATATATGGTAACATGGATCCCATCAATATACCCCAGTCATGTTAGCATATATCAGCACCATGGATCCTATGGGATACTGTATAAACACTAGTTGATCAGTAGAATCCTAGTTGTAGTAATACTGGTTAGATCCCAAAAAATCTGGAATATTTTTGGGTCTGTATAAAATACTGTTCATGGTTCCTGTTGATCCAGACCACCTTGCACGGGCCCCACTAGGATGCCCCCAACATCGTCACCAAAAAATGATGTGAATGGGATGATCCCAAGCGGCGTTGCGTCGCGTCAGGATGGAATACATGCAGATTACGTAGTATACTATCTACACACATATATATATATATTATATACATGTTATGTACTATGTACAACTGTACAATTACATATATGATTACACATGTAATAGGAATAGTGATTGTAACAATCATAAATGATAATTAGATATAATTAGTACATAGTGACATAGTAATAGTGTATGAAGTGTATATATATTGCAATTATATATATACATATATACATAGATCCAAGTTTTTGTGCGACATCCTGCGACTAAAGAGTTGGTGTTCACCAGTGAACTTGGCAGGAAATGCCTTATGGTTGGTATGTTCCCTCTGGAGAGGGCAACAATGCCAAGGCAGCCAAGCTTGGGAATCGGAAAGGATCGTTGGTTTTTCAAGGTTTTTGAGTTGTGTATCAAAGGCAGTTCATCAAGTGTGTGTTTGATGATCTTCCTTTGATTATGTTAGTTGTTTGATCGATATACACCGTGCAATTCTGAGTGCGCAATTGTCAAAGGTTTTGTTTTGGTCATTAGTTTTCCAGGAAAGATGGTGTTTTTTTTGGATGTTGCCGAGTTCTTCGTTCTTTCTGTTGCCGAGTTTTCTCTCATTTTCTGCAGTGCTGGACGTGCCGATCCAGGTCTACAACTGCTGGGAGTGGGGCAAGAAACCGACCAAAGGGTGCCGGAGGGAGATTTCGCTCCCACGGTGCACACATGATTTGGCCAAAGGAGGTTATATACGTATAATGTAATGATCTAAACGTGCACATCTTTTTCCTATGTATATATATATATATTTAGTATATATATTTAGTATATATATATACATATGTATATACACATATGTGTAGTAATGGTGTATATATATATATACATACATATGTACATGGTATCATCTCTCTCTCTCTCTCTATATATAGATATATATATATTATGCATATCGTACACAGACAGACACAGAGACAGACACAGTAGCGATGCCTCCAGGTACTTCTCTTCTCGCCCTGGAGCGGCTGAAGCCAATGGTGTCTCAGCTGGGTGAAACCCCAAGCCAGAAATGGATACTGATTAGCAGTAGTAGTACTAATCTGGTTGGTGGTTTGGAACATGGCTGGATGATTTTCCATTTCATTTTTTTGGGTTGTCATCCGAAACCCATTGACGAACTCATATTTTTCAGAGGGGTTGAAACCACCAACCAGTAATGATACATGTAAAAAATAGTAGTAATAATAGTAGTCTAATCATATATAATAAAAAATAGTAGTAATAATGATCGTAGTGGTGTTGTAGCAGTAGCAGTATTATCATTATTATACTATATATTACTGCTGATAATACTGCTAATTATTGATGATGATGATAATATCCACTAATAATATACTGGTATTATAATGATAATATTGCTGTAGTATCATCAATCATGGATAATGGATATATTCATAGAATTGGATGATGGGAAAATTTACAGGAAAGCCCGATCCATTTGATGGTAGAAACCATGGTTTCCGGTTCAGATTTTCCCTTAAACCAATCCAGTGATATATAGTATAATAATAGGTAAACCCAGGTAAACCATCTATAAATGGGCCATTTTCCATGGCTATATTAATTACTATCATTATCGATGATGGATGATGGATGACGATGGGATTTAACAACGCCGAGTTGCGACCTTTTTTTTTAACATGCCAGTGCTGGATGAACAAACTCGGGTTTGGTACGTCTGACAACTTGGGGAAAAGATGGAACATATAGAAATTCCGGGTTAAAAGACTCTACCTGGCCTGGTAAACGTTTACATAGCTATTGAAAATGGTGATTTATTTCGTGGATTTTCCCATGAAACATGGTGATTTTCAATAGCTATGTAAACGTTTACCAGAGGGTAGAGTCTTCCTCGCATCAAGTTGGTGTTCCAAAATGAACTTGGTCATCCAAAAAGTTCATCACAACCCCATGAATTGATGCTTAATCATGGTATTCCTCTGGTAAATTAACACTTCGACCCTGGCAGTCATCGGGGTTGGAAGATTAGTTTCCATTTAAACTAGGCTATTAAAACAGGGTCAACAAGTTAATTTACCAGAGGGTATATGGTGGATTGATCTATAATTTATAATAATTTATAAACCATATAGTTTTTGGATTAGGTATATCAGCATTTATAAACCATATATCAGCATTACCCAATGTTTCCTGGCATATCCCAGTCCCCATGGCCACCGAAAGGCCGTGGCCTCGCCATGGCCTCGCCACGGCGCCGAAGGTTTTGATCCGATGAAATACGGCACTGGCCCTGTGAAGGACGACGATGATGAGGCTGGAAATTCTTGGAGCCAGCGTCCTATTGCGGAGAAAATGTACATCTTTTTTGGAACACACATATATGTATATGTATATACATATACATATACTGTATATATATATATATATATACATGTGCATGCACGCATATATTGTGCCATATTGTGGCGATAAATGGCTTTAGCAAAGTGGATCCTTGGTGGATACCCAGCAGTTTCAACTTTCGATTCTTTGGGCCTAGCTGATGTTGAACGTTTGATTTGTCACCTGTCTACTTGAAGATCGGCACCATAGATTTGACTTCAATGTGATGCCACTGCAATGATGGCAAGGCTTAAGGGGAATCAGCCTCAAATGGCACAATATTTCAGATATTTTCAGCTTAGTGACTTATGACATTCAGCCAGATATGTATATATATATGCCTACATGGAAGACGGTGTGTGTATATATATATATAAATCTCTCCCTCTCTCTCCCTATGGATCCAAACGCTTCCTCAGAATAAACTATCACAGGTGTGGAAACTCGCCATTTGCAGGTAATTATTTGTTCAAAGGGAACCATTGGTTTTCCCCGTCTATGTTAGTTTACCCTTGGATAAACAAATAAGTAAAATAATATACAATATATGATGTATATTATATATAATATGTTATAATATATATTATGATATATATTACATACAATATATATAATATATAATATATAATTTATAATATACTATAATATATTATATTATATTTTATTGCATTATATTATATTATATGATAATGTTATGTTATGGTATGGTATAAAATATAATATGATATAATATTATTGTATATTGAATAAATATGTGTTATATATATATATATGTGTTTGTATATAGACATTTTATATGGAAGATCTGTAGCGGTTTCAAGCCACTCTCAGGAGGAGGTGGTCCAAAAGTTGGATGCTCCAAAGATTGCAGCGCCAACGAAGGCGGTCCGAGTTCCGTTGCTTGCTGTGGATGTGGTGAACAGTGGTTTTTTCTAGTTCATTAAGGTATATTAAGGGATATTAATGGTTAATCTATGGTTAATAATGGTTAATAATTGGAATAACCATATATCTGGTTGGTGGTTTGGAACATTTTTTATTTTTCCATATATTGGGAATAATCATCCCCAACTGACGAACTCAGATTTTTCAGAGGGGTAGATATACCACCAACCAGATCGGTTTAGGGAAATACAGGAAAACACCATAAAATCCCATACTTAATGTGAAAATCTGTGGTTTCCGGTTAAAAAAATCCCACCAATCCATTGACTAGTGGGTATATGAAGGGTGTACATAATCGATTAATATAATGGCTATATCATGGTTGATAATGATAATTCATTGTCAATAGTGGTTGATACTGGTTAATAATTGCTAATCATTGCTACTAGTGGTTGATACTAGTGGTTGATAAGGGTCAATAATGGTTGAGAATGACCAAATCATGGTTGATCATGGTCAATAGTGATTAATGATATGCATAACTATGGTGTTACCTGGGTGTGCAGTTGTTTCTTTTTTTGATGAGTACATAACCATGGCACGATCAGCCCCATAACAAGGGATATGGGGCCACTATATATATCAATGGTTTTCTTATGAGTATGAGTGGAACCGCACCAGGTTCCCAATCAAAAAGGGGACGCATGGGGGAACTACAATCAGAGTTTTCCACCTCTGTTCCCATTGTGTTCCCAGATTTCCAATGATCAAACTGGGAGATTGACTTTTTTTTTTGGGCGAAGTTCATGCGAAGGTGTTTTTGTCCGCACTCGATGTTGGTAACTCTAAGATACCCCTTGCATCGTATGCTTTGGGATCCTATCGCGAAGGTAGGTGCTGCATAGACCCCTGGGCTGCCCCCTGCAAGTCGCATCGGCTATGTGCCTCCAAACAGCAAATCCTCAAAAGTGACATTCGAACGTTTAACTCAGATGTAGGGGCTCCTCAAAATTGTCACAAACAAATATTGGACTCTCTTCCCAGAATTGGTTTCAGGATTTAGGCCCAAAAAGAACTTATATATTTCATAACATTTTATGACAAAAGCCGTGGTTTCTGGTTTGTTTCCCAACGAAAGAACTGAAAGAACCAATCCATTGATCGTTCAACGCTTGCGGCCCCAGGCCCTGCCAGCCGCCGCCGCATCTGGGCCTGCACCGCTGCCAGCCGGGAAGCCCATAGCTGGGCTTATAGCTGGTAAAATCGTAGAAAAAAGTGTGGAACATATGGGAAAAACCCATAGAAAAAAACAATATTTTTCAGCAGGTATACCACCTGTTTCAGCCAAGCAGCGTCTGGTAATTTTGCCAATCTTGTGGGACGAAGTGTTGCTGCCATCGCGTTGTAATTGGCTGGGGGAAGCTGAAAAGACATTGGGAGACAGCACTTGGCCAAACAGCTAGTGAAACAGCGTAGATTTGTTTAATGCTGGTTGGAGGTTTGGAACATTTTTTACTGTTCCAGGTATTGGGAATAGTAATCACAACTGAGGGGTAGGTATACCACCAACCAGAATGTGTTCGTCTGAAGTCCTGAGGAAAAAAACTCAAGATTGATGGATCAGCACTTCATTTGATTCATATTGCCATTTTGCTGGTGAGCCCCCATGTTCAGACACACCCAATCAAAGGATTGGTCATATATATATAATATGTTATAATATAATATATATATATGATATGTGATATATAATATATAATACATGATATATAATGTATGAAAATTAGTATATGATATATGCTATATAATATATGATATATGATATACAATATATAATTTATAATGTATGATATATATATATGATATATATATGATATATCATATATAATATATAGTATAAAACAATATCATTTAGACTACACTATAATATGAAATATTGTACAATATAATATAATATAATATAATCTGATACACTATGATATAATATTATAATAGAATATAGTATTATAATATAATACCATATAATCCACCATAATATAACATAAAATAATATAATATAATATGAGATAGTGAAATACAATATAATATAATATAATTCATAAATATATGTAAATGTAAATATGTGTATATGTATGTAGATATACACATGATATCCCATAGATATCCCTCGCCAAGGTGGCCTTGCTCTTCCCTGGTCAAGGATCTCAATGTGCAGGGAAACCTGGGCCGCGGTAGCGCGGTAGCACTGACAGCGACACGGTAGGGGACCCACATGTTTCGCTGTGGAAAGATTCATCATGAAATCTCATGAAATATATCTGATAAGCTAACATAGCTATCGAAAATGGTGATTTTCCATAGCTATGTTAGTTTACCAGAGGGCCAGAGGGTATCGAATTCAATGAATCATTGTGTGTCTACTTTTTTTCCCGTAGAATTCACATCCAGAAAACATCACACTCAAGAGCTTGAACAAGTTCCCTTGGAATGTTACATTGGGCATGCAATCAGTGCATATAAATCTCAGGTGGGAATGCTGAAGCAGGTCAAGGATATTCCAGCCGTGCAGGCGGGGACCCAGAGTTGTTGTCGTTGCTCACGGCGAGCCCTGGGATTTTTTCGAAGTAAATGATGATAACATGTATCTTTGTAGCTCAAATCAACTATAACTGGACCCGGACCCATAGGATCCATGTATGGTATATATGGTGACATGGATCCCATCAATATACCCCAGTCATGTTAGCATTTTTCTACCAGCACCATGGATCCGTCATGGGGGAGGATTTTCTATTGCTAATGAAATGGTGAAGCTGTGCAACATCACTGGAGGATTTTCCCACGGGTTTTTCAAGGCCGCCTTGCTGCATCCGGCTTCAGTATCTACGCAATCCACCAGAAACTACAGCCTGGCAGCCCTTGGATTTTTTTGGAACTTTGAAAGATACATGTTATACCAATGATGATACACTTTACACATATACATTACTATATTACTGTAATGAGCCCAGAGTTTCACACCAAAAAATCATGCCATGCTCACGCCAAAAGCTAGGTCCAGGTAGGTGAACCAGGAGGATTTCAAGGAAACATTTCCCAACCGATTGACACGCCCTGATCCAATGATGCGCTTCCTGCTGCTGGTGATAGTCACCACCTCAGTGGAAATCCACCAGGTGAACAGTTCGGTGCAGAGTTCGGTGCACTTTTCGGCAGCTTTTTTTTGGGGGTTGCTATTTATGCCCATGAATTCCTAGGGAATTCCTAGGAATTTCATGAAGAATTTCCATGAAACCCTATGAATTCCTAGGAATTTCCATCAATCCCCATGTATCATATGTATCTCAAGGGGGTTGGCGATGAACCTCTCCAAGGCTGCGGGTGCCGTAGAAGAGACGAACTTGGAGGTAACGGTGCCTTGGTTGTAACAGCAGTGGATTTTGAGCATATTTTCAGACAAACCCAGGAAACCCAGATGATACACATATATTATCATATATTACTGTATATAAAGATGATGAATTACCTATATGAATCAGATACCTATTTTATTAAACGATGTCTTTCTATTTGAAAATGCTGAATTACCTATTAGAAATGATTCTTTTGCACTTGGCTATGTTACATTGCCAGAGGGTATCACTAGGTCATGGGGATCCCCAAGCCCCTTCTGTCGGGGTAGCATTATTTTAGAAAGCCTCCATTTGTTGATCCATATTTATATTTACATACATATATAAACTTATATATATATACATATAGAATATACGTGTATATAGATATGAATTTATATATTTGTGAGGACCTGAGTTATGACCTCAACATCAATGATGCCTATTTTTTGGGGTGGAAACCATGAATTTGATGGTACTTCAGGGTTGGGGAATCTCCGTAGCATTTTTTTGTCAAAGATAATCACATATAAACATCATAATCATTTGATCATCCCATATAAAATCCAGATTCCATTTAAAAAAGTGTGTTTTTTCACCCAGAAACTTAAGTTTTGGGGATGATTCTATGAGATATGTTCATGATTAATATGATATAATGTATAGGTAACACATAAAATGTCATGTTTACCCCCAAGTCATCACCAAAATCACAAGAAATAATAGGTGGATATAGGTGGTATAGTATAAATCATGCCCAGTCATGGGTGGTTTATTTATGCTCCCCCCCATTTTTGCAGCTTCCCGAGGATGATGAGAATAGCGACTCGGCGGAAGTATTCTCCGGAAAATGGGTGAAACTGGACCATTTATGTTCCAAAAGGGAGAGTACATGATAGTAAATGGATGGTAAGCTGGAAAATCCTGATTATCACCATGTTTATTTGTACCGCAACTTTAAAATGGCGATTTCCCTGGCTTGCTGCAAGCTGCGAATTTCTACTAGAGGGTATCCATTTCGGAGACATGGATGGTTTTCCTACTGAAGATGGACAAACCAGCTATTTTGATTCCGACAGATCTGTGGGATTTCGCTCGTGTCATGAAATTTGGTCATTGGTCAACCACCAGGCCCATGTTTCAAAAGGATTTCATCCAGCTGTCAGGACTTCTGCCAGTCACGTAGCCTTGAGGCTGCGACAAAGGCTTGTTGCTCTTGCAGCGTCAAAGTCGCAAGCTTTCCGAGGCCTGTGGCAGTACCACCGGCAGTGGGGATATGAAGCCGAAATAAATGGGTGCCAGTAGCAGACGTTATGATCGAATTGACATGGACCAATGTCATGATATTACTACAACTACTACCAGACTACTAGATGTATATGATTGGGGTCTAAGGGTTTAAGCCACCATAGTGATCTTGATTGAAGTGGAGGCTGATTTTCACTGAGCTCCAATCTTACACTATGCGGGCCCAGGTCTAGGGCCTGGGCCTGGTTCTCTTTCTGCCTATTGACACACTGTCTAGTGTACCATCTAGCAACTGTTCAATACTTTTCACATAGCTTAGCTATGGAAAATGTACCCGTTTAAAGCTCTATAAAACTTTACTTGGTGGTTCATCCCACTTAGTAAGTGGGTTATAACCCCAGTTATAAGTGGATTAACCCTACTTATCCCATTTATAACTGGGGCTATAACCCACTTACTAAGTGGGATGAGCCACCAAGTATAAACCTCTATTTTCATAGGGGATTTCCCATTGCACATATTGCACGTGCACGATGGGATCTGGAGGGATTTTTTGGCTTAAAATCGAAGCCCAGGAGAAAGAGGCAGAGGAATGGGGAGGCAGGGCTCAGCCAAGTTTCTTGTCGGTAAGAAACCTCCATGGTTCACAAGGTGCTTCCCCAGTCCTTGCCTTAGCCAGGCTTTATACATAAAAATATATAAAAATAAAAATATATAAAAATCACAACTGGCTTTATGGATATATCGAAGGAGTTACCTGTTGTTTTTTTAAGCGTTACGTCACCACATCACTGGGGCAGCACCTTGCAAGCATCCGTCCCGCGACAGGAAGTTGCCAATCCTATGGCTGCAGGTCACGGCCTCAGCCTTTAGAATCCTCTAGATGTAGCTGTGAATTGTTTTGGGTGCTGAAGAATCATTGAGATGATCATGTGCTGAACATGTCCAGAACATGTCCAGGTCACATTTTAACCGGTTTTAGGACCAAACTTACATTTTTTGTTTTTTCTTTCCCAGGGTCGAAGGCAGTGTTGTGACGTCCTGTTTCGAGAGGCATGGTTACCATTCCTGGATGAAGTGCCAGTGCAACTCCGAGTGCGAGAAATATGGCAATTGCTGCTGGGAGCCTCAGAAAAGGAAGAAATGATGGGTGAATTTGGACTCGAATTCTTCCCCAAACAATGGATGGGAATGTAGGAAACCCAATAATAAAACCTACCATTTGGGGATGGTATCTCCCACCCAAAATAATTGGTGATTTTAGGGATTGTTGATTGGGTTGTCTATTGTACTTCCATTGACCGATTGGCACCACTTGTTTGAGCCAGACCTATTTCGTCGCTGAAGATTTCTTGGCTTTGTCGATTAAAGCGTTCATTTATAGTCCCTTTTCATCCTCCCCAGTAGTATGTCATTACTTTGACTTCTTGTCATTAACCTGCCTTGGTGGTTTCAAGACCAAGATTTCCTGATAGTTAATCCAAGTATTCCAATAGTTAATCCAACAGCTAATCCAAGGATATTTTACCACTATAGTTTCTCCAGCAAATCTCCTAATTTGCATCTTCCAGCGCCGCGAGAGTCAGAGGTGGCGATTTCCAGGCGAAATGCGCACGGAACCCCTGGGGGGAAGGGGCGGGAATACCTGGGGGCGCGGGCCCCACGGATCGTAAATGGGTGAAAAATCATCAGTATATGGAATATCCCCTAGTGTATACCTAGCACCACCTTTCGGGCTAAAATTAAAGCCTTTTCCTAAAAGGATCCTTTTAGATCCTCGGGCTGAAAATTAGACCTCGGGCGGATTTTGCCATTCAGTCAGATTTTGCCATTATAACCAGGGCAGGCTCAAGGATTATTCCCATTGTTTTTGTTGATTTTGAAAGACGATAGTCGGGCGGATTTACCCACTATTCGGGCGGACTCTCCCACTATTCAGGCGGATTTTCCCAAACTGCGTGCTTTTGATGTTTCTTGAATGAAGCTGCCTCGTAGTTAAAACACCATACTCAAAAAGGCTTCAGGCGGATTTTTGGGACTCCGGCGGATTTTTAGAACTCGGGCAGAAAAACAGCCTTTTTGAGCCCGGGCTGAAATTTAAGTCTGAGGAGGCCCTAGGTATGGGATTATATGGGGTATATAACGGATTATAAACCACTTTCCACATTCAAGCATGGAATGTTCATAAATGGATAGTTGACTAGGGAAATAGGGAAATCCATAGGTTTTGGGGCACAGCACCCTATTCAGAGAAACCCATGTGGTTCCCATCATCGCCTCAGATGGTTCAAATGTCGACAGCCATTATGGCCAGGGGGGAAGGATCTATTCGGAAGCATCTAAACTTGGAGCTGCCCGGGAAAATCCCACGCGAAAAATCATGATAGTTTCCATGAAACTGCCACAAACTGCCATATCCAATAATTATTTGAACCCCATCCCCCATTGTACTGCCATGGCCTAGGTCAAGGGGTCGCAGGGAGGTCAAGATCAAGAAAGTCCACAGGGAGGTGGAAATGCGTGCAGATATGTGCTTTGACATCTCTCTGCAAATGGCGAACTCGCACTGTATCTGAGATATTTTAATGAGACAAAATTTTCAAGGGAACTCACAGACTCACAGACTGGCACAGACCATTTCCAATTTCCACTCCACTCCAGCCCTTCCTGCAACCTCTTCTGGCAGCGCAGGTTCTTGCGCGAGTTACGGCTGCGGGTGACTTGTATGAAGCAGCGAGATGCGATTTCGACATATTTCGACCATGGATTCACTCGCTGGTTGATGCTTCAAGGCTATCACTGCTGGTTTCCACAGGACTTAAAAAAAGGTAATCCAGCTTTTGTGCTGGATTGGAACCACCCGATTCGAACACGATCAAAAAAAACAAGCTGAGAGATGGATTGTTCCCCACCTGCTGAGGGTCTCTCC